TCTATCTCTGTATAACTCTCTCTCTCTCTGTATAACACTCTCTCTCTCTGTATAACTCTCTCTCTCTCTGTATAACTCTCTCTCTCTCTGTATGACTCTCTCTCTCTCTGTATAACTCTCTCTCTCTCTGTATAACTTTCTCTGTATATATCTCTCTCTCTCTCTCTGTATAACTCTCTCTCTCTCTGTGTAACTCTATCTCTGTATAACTCTCTCTCTGTATAACTCTCTCTCTCTGTATAACTTTCTCTGTATATCTCTCTCTCTGTGTATAACTCTCTCTCTCTCTCTGTGTAACTCTATCTCTGTATAACACTCTCTCTCTCTGTATAACTCTCTCTCTGTGTATAACTCTCTCTCTTTGTGTATAACTCTCTCTCTTTCTGTATACCTCTCTCTCTCTGTATAACTCTCTCTCTCTCTGTATAACGTTCTCTGTATAACTCTGTCTCTGTATAACTCTCTCTCTCACTCTCTGTGCAACACTCTCTCTCTCTGTGTATAACTCTCTCTCTCTCTGTATAACCCTCTCTCTCTCTGTATAACTCTCACTCTCTCTGTATAACTCTGTCTCTGTATAAGTCTCTCTCTCTCTCTGTATAACTCTATCTCTGCATAACTCTCTCTCTCTCTGTACAACACTCTCTCTCTGTATAACTCTCTCTCTCTGTATAACACACTCTCTCTCTGTATAACTCTCTCTCTCTGTATAACTCTCTCTCTCTGTATAACACGCTCTCTCGCTGTATAACTCTCTCTCTCTGTATAACTCTCTCTCTGTATAACTCTCTCTCTCTCTCTGTATAACTCTCTCTCTCTGTATAACACTTTCTCTCTCTGTATAACTCTCTCTTTCTGTGTATAACTCACTCTCTCTCTGTATAACTCTCTCTCTGTATCACACTCTCTCTCTCTGTATAACACTCTCTCTCTGTATAACTCTCTCTCTCTGTGTATAACTCACTCTCTCTCTGTATAACTCTCTCTCTCTCTCTGTATCACACTCTCTCTCTCTGTATAACACTCTCTCTCTGTATAACTCTCTCTCTCTGTGTATAACTCTCGCTCTCTCTCTGTATAACTCTCTCTCTGAATAACACTCTCTCTCTGTATTCTCTCTCTCTCTGTATTCTCTCTCTCTCTGTATCTCTCTCTCTCTCTCTGTATAACACTCTCTCTGTATAACTCTATCTCTGTATAACTCTCTATCTCACTCTCTGTGCAACACTCTCTCTCTGTGTGTATAACTCTCTCTCTCTCTCTGTGTAATCTCTGTATAACTCTCACTCTCTCTCTGTACAACACTCTCTCTCTGTATAACTCTCTCTCTGTATAACTTTCTCTGTATATCTCTCTCTCTGTATAACTCTGTCTCTCTGTATACCTCTCTCTCTGTATAACTCTCTCTCTCTGTATAACTCTCTCTCTGTATAACACTCTCTCTCTCTGTATAACTCTCTCTCTCTGTATAACACTCTCTCTCTGTATAACTCTCTCTCTCTCTGTATAACTCTCTCTCTCTGTGTATAACTTTCTCCGTATAACTCTCTCTCTCTCTGTGTAACACTCTCTCTCTCTGTATAACTCTCACTCTCTCTCTGTATAACACTCTCTCTCTCTCTGTATAACTCTCTCTCTCTGTACAACGCTCTCTCTCTGTATAACTCTCTCTCGCTGTATAACTCTCTCTCTCTCTGTATAACTTTCTCTGTATATCTCTCTCTCTGTATAACTCTCTCTCTCTGTATAACACTCTCTCTCTCTGTATAACACTCTCTCTCTCTGTATAACTCTCTCTCTGTATAACTCTCTCTCTCTGTATAACACTCTCTCTCTCTGTATAACTCTCTCTCTCTGTATAACACTCTCTCTCTGTATAACTCTCTCTCTCTCTCTGTATAACTCTCTCTCTCTGTATAACTTTCTCCGTATAACTCTCTCTCTCTGTATAACACTCTCTCTCTCTGTATAACTCTCTCTCTCTGTATAACACTCTCTCTCTCTCTGTATAGCTCTCTCTCTCTCTCTGTATAACACACATTCTCTCTGTATAACTCTCTCTCTCTGTATAACTCTCTCTCTCTCTGTATAACTCTCTCTCTGTATAACACTCTCTCTCTCTCTGTATAGCTCTCTCTCTCTCTCTCTGTATAACACACATTCTCTCTGTATAACTCTCTCTCTTTCTGTATAACACTATGTTTCTCTCTGTATAACACTCTCTCTCTGCATAACTCTCTCTCTCTGTATCACTATCTCTCTCTCTCTCTGTACAACACTCCCTCTCTCTGTATAACTCTCTCTCTCGCTGTATAACTTTCTCTGTATATCTCTCTCTGTATAACTCTCTCTCTCTCTCTCTCTGCATAACTCTCTCTCTCTGTACAACACTCTCTCTCTCTGTATAACTCTCTCTCTCTCTGTATAACACTCTCTCTCTGTATAACTCTCTCTCTGTATAACTCTCTCTCTCTGTATAACTCTCTCTCGCTGTATAACTCTCTCTCTCGCTGTATAACTCTCTCTCTCTGTATAACTCTCTCTCTGTATAACTCTCTCTCTCTGTATAACTCTCTCTCTCTGTATAACTCTCTCTCTCTGTATAACTCTCTCTCTCTGTATAACTCTCTCTCTGTATAACTCTCTCTCTGTATAACTCTCTCTCTGTGTAACACTCTCTCTCTCTGTGTAACTCTCTCTCTGTATAACTCTCTCTCTGTATAACACTCTCTCTCTCTGTGTATAACTCTCTCTCTGTGTAACACTCTCTCTCTGTATAACTCTCACTCTCTCTCTGTATAACTCTCTCTCTCTGTGTATAACTCTCTCTCTCTGTGTATAACTCTCTCTCTGTATCTCTCTCTCTCTCTCTCTCTCTCTCTGTATAACACTCTCTCTCTCTGTATAACTATCTCTCTCTGTATAACTCTATCTCTGTATAACTCTCTATCTCACTCTCTGTGCAACACTCTCTCTCTGTGTGTATAACTCTCGCTCTCTCTCTCTGTGTAACACACTCTCTCTCTGTATAACTCTCACTCTCTCTCTGTATAACTCTCTCTGTATAACTCTCTCTCTCTCTGTATAACTCTCTCTCTCTCTGTATAACTCTCTCTCTCTGTGTATAACTCTCTCTCTCTCCGTATAACTTTCTCTGTATATCTCTCTCTCTGTATAACTCTCTCTGTATAACTCTATCTCTGTATAACTCTCTCTCTCTCTCTGTACAACACTTCCTCTCTCTGTATAACTCTCTCTCTCTCTGTATAACTTTCTCTGTATATCTCTCTCTCTGTATAACTCTCTCTCTCTGTATAACTTTCTCTGTATATCTCTCTCTCTGTATAACTCTCTCTCTCTCTCTCTCTCTCTCTCTCTCTCTGTATAACTCTCTCTCTCTCTCTGTATAACACTCTCTCTCTCTGTAGAGCTCTCTCTCTGTGTATAACTCTCTCTCTGTGTATAACTCTCTCTCTCTGTATAACTCTCTCTCTCTGTATAACACACTCTCTCTCTCTGTATAACTCTATCTCTGTATAACTCTCTCTCTCACTCTCTGTACAACACTCTCTCCCTCTGTGTATAACTCTCTCTCTATCTCTCTGTATAACACTCTCTCTCTCTCTCTGTATAACTCTCTCTCTCTCTCTGTATAACACTCTCTATCTCTCTGTATAACTCTCTCTCTCTGTATAACTCTCTCTCTGTATAACTCTCTCTCTCTGTATAACTCTCTCTGTATAACTCTCTCTCTCTGTATAACTTTCTCTGTATATCTCTCTCTCTGTATAACTCTCTCTCTCTCTCTCTCTCTCTGTATAACTCTCTCTCTCTCTCTCTGTATAACTCTCTCTCTCTGTATAACTTTCTCTGTATATCTCTCTCTCTGTATAACTCTCTCTCTCTCTCTCTCTGTATAACTCTCTCTCTGTATAACTCTCTCTCTCTCTGTATAACTCTCTCTCTGTATAACTCTCTCTCTCACTCTCTGTACAACACTCTCTCCCTCTGTGTATAACTCTCTCTCTATCTCTCTGTATAACTCTCTCTCTCTCTGTATAACACTCTCTCTCTGTATAACTCTCTCTCTCTCTCTCTGTATAACTCTCTCTCTCTGTATAACTCTCTCTCTCTCTCTCTGTATAACTCTCTCTCTGTGTATAACTCTCTCTCTCTCTCTGTATAACACTCTCTATCTCTCTGTATAACTCTCTCTCTCTGTATAACTCTCTCTCTGTATAACTCTCTCTCTGTATAACTCTCTCTCTCTGTATAACTCTCTCTCTGTATAACTCTCTCTCTGTATAACTCTCTCTCTCTCTGTATAACTCTCTCTCTGTATAACTCTCTCTCTCTCTCTCTCTGTATAACTCTCTCTCTGTATAACTCTCTCTCTGTATAACTCTCTCTCTCTGTATAACTCTCTCTCTGTATAACTCTCTCTCTCTCTCTCTGTATAACTCTCTCTCTGTATAACTCTCTCTCTCTCTGTATAACTCTCTCTCTGTATAACTCTCTCTCTCTCTCTCTGTATAACACTCTCTATCTCTCTGTATAACTCTCTCTCTCTGTATAACTCTCTCTCTCTCTGTATAACTCTCTCTCTGTATAACTCTCTCTCTCTCTCTCTGTATAACACTCTCTATCTCTCTGTATAACTCTCTCTCTGTATAACACTCTCTCTCTGTATAACTCTCTCTCTCTCTCTCTCTCTGTATAACTCTCTCTCTCTCTGTGTATAACTCTCTCTCTGTATAACACTCTCTCGGATCACGTGACGTTGTTGGTTGTGGCGGCGGAGCGGCTGAGGCCGGAACCGGGGGGTCTGTGCGGGACCGGGAGGGCGGTGCGGGGCTGTGCGGGACCGGGGGGTCTGTGCGGGACCGGGAGGGCGGTGCGGGGCTGTGCGGGACCGGGGGGGCGGTGCGGGGCTGTGCGGGACCGGGAGGGCGGTGCGGGACCGGGAGGGCGGTGCGGGGCCCGAGCGCTCGAGGCTGTACATGAACGCCCCGCGGGGCTCCCGGAGGCCGGCGGCTCGGCGCAGTGAGGGCGGGGGCGGGGAGGGCCGGGCCGGGCCGCGGGGCTCGGGGAAGGCCGGGGCCTGGGGCCTGGGCCTGGGCCTCGGGGCGCTGCACACACAGCCCCTGTCGCGGCAGCAGCTGAAGCGGTTGGAGGACCACCGGTACCGCAGCGCGGGCCGCTCGGTGCTGGAGCCGCTGCTGCAGTGCTGGTGGGAGTGGCTCGTGCGGCGGCTCCCGCTCTGGATGGCCCCGAACGTCATCACCATCACCGGCCTCGCGCTCAATGTCTGCACCACGTTAGTGCTCGTGTGTTACTGCCCAACCGCCACCGAACAGGTAGTCCGTCCGTCTGTGTCTGTCTGTCTGTGTCTGTCTGTCTGTCTGTGTCTGTCTGTCTGTCTGTGTCTGTCTGTGTCTGTCTGTGTCTGTCTGTCTGTGTCTGTCTGTGTCTGTCTGTCTGTGTCTGTCTGTGTCTGTCTGTCTGTCTGTCTGTGTCTGTCTGTGTCTGTCTGTCTCTGTGTCTGTCTGTCTGTGTCTGTCTGTCTGTCTGTGTCTGTCTGTGTCTGTCTGTCTGTGTCTGTTTGTCTGTCTGTCTGTGTCTGTTTGTCTGTCTGTCTGTCTGTGTCTGTCTGTCTGTGTCTGTCTGTCTGTGTCTGTCTGTCTGTCTGTCTGTGTCTGTTTGTCTGTCTGTCTGTGTCTGTGTGTCTGTCTGTGTGTCTGTCTGTCTGTCTGTCTGTGTCTGTCTGTCTGTCTGTGTGTCTGTCTGTCTGTCTGTCTGTGTCTGTCTGTCTGTGTCTGTCTGTCTGTCTGTGTCTGTCTGTGTCTGTCTGTCTGTCTGTCTGTGTCTGTCTGTGTCTGTCTGTCTGTCTGTCTGTCTGTCTGTGTCTGTCTGTCTGTCTGTCTGTCTGTCTGTCTGTGTCTGTCTGTCTGTCTGTCTGTCTGTCTGTCTGTCTGTGTCTGTTTGTCTGTCTGTGTCTGTGTGTCTGTCTGTGTGTCTGTCTGTCTGTCTGTCTGTCTGTGTGTCTGTCTGTCTGTCTGTCTGTCTGTGTCTGTTTGTCTGTCTGTCTGTGTCTGTTTGTCTGTCTGTCTGTGTCTGTTTGTCTGTCTGTCTGTGTCTGTCTGTCTGTCTGTCTGTCTGTCTGTCTGTGTCTGTTTGTCTGTCTGTCTGTCTGTCTGTCTGTGTCTGCCGTCCCTGTGCCCCTCACCGCGGGCCACTGCCGTCCCAGTGCCACTGCCTGACTCCATGTGTTACCATATGCAATCCCCTGACACCACTCAGTCACTGCCCGGCAATCACTGGGCACTGCGCACTGGCTGCCGGTGTGCACTGGGCACTGGCTGCCGGTGTGCACTGTGCACTGGCTGCTGGTGTACACTGTGCACAGGCTCCTGGTGTACACTGTGCACGTGGTCACACACTGGACTGTGCGGTCAGTGCTTGCCACTGAGTGGTCACTGTTTGGTGTTCCGCACAGAGGCTGAGTGACTGTCATACACTTTACTTGGTATCTAGTGGTCAATCAGACTTACACAACCTCTGGCATCTTCAGGTGGTCAGTAACTGGTGCTGTGGACAAGCCTTTGCATTTATCTAACAGTTATTGTTCAATAATGACTTGCGGAGGTTAGCGGTGTAAAGTGAGATGAATTTACAGATGACCGACAACACCCAGATGCGTCTTTATAATAATAATCCCTCCAAAAAAAAAAACAATAATTAAATTGGTCATTTTCAATCCACGACTGTTTGTGGGACATTGCTGTGCGCAATTGGCTGCCGCGTTTGCCCACAAATATACAGTCAATTCACTTTACAGTGTGTTCTGTGAAGCGCTTTGGGACGTCCTCCCGACGTGAAAAGCGCTATATCAAATGCAAGGATTATTATTATTATTATAGTGCCTTATCACATTAGAAGAACACTAGGACTATTCTCCTTGGAGCAGAGAAGGTTAAGAGGCGACTTAATAGAAGTTTTCAAAATTCTGAGGGGATTCGATAGGATGAAGGAGAAACTATTCCCACTGGCGGGAGGGTCGGTAACCCGAGGACACCGATTTAATATAGTTGTTAAAAGAAACAGAGGGGAGGTGAGGAGAAATGTTTTCACACAATGAGTTGTTGGGATCTGGAATGTATTACCTGAAAGACCGGTGGAAGCCGATTCGATAACAACTTCATAATAATAATCCTTGCATTTGATATAGCGCTTTTCACGTCGGGAGGACGTCCCAAAGCGCTTCACAGAACACACTGTAAAGTGAATTGACTGTATATTTGTGGGCGAACGCGGCAGCCAATTGCGCACAGCAATGTCCCACAAACAGTCGTGGATTGAAAATGACCAATTTATTGTTCTTTTTGGTTTTGGAGGGATTATTATTAGGCTCTGTGTGGAGTAAGGAAACTTGCCCAAGGTTTCGCCCTCTGCCTGGAATTGAACTCAGGTCTCTCACTTGCAAAGCGAGTGCTCTAACTCCTGAGCTACAGGACTCCACTTTTAAGAGAGAAGTAGATAATTATTTGGAGAGGACAAGTTTGCAGGACTATGGGAGGAGAGTGGGGGAGTGGGGTTGATCAGGGCTATGGGGAGAGAGCGGAGGAGTGGGGTTGATCAGGGCTATGGGGAGAGAGCGGAGGAGTGGGGTTGATCAGGGCTATGGGGGGAGAGCGGGGGAGTGGGGTTGATCAGGGCTATGGGGAGAGAGTGGGGAGTGGGGTTGATCAGGGCTATGGGGAGAGAGTGGGAGAGTGGGGTTGATCAGGGCTATGGGGAGAGGCGGGGGAGTGGGGTTGATCAGGACTATGGGGAGAGAGTGGGGGAGTGGGGTTGATCAGGGCTATGGGGAGAGAGTGGGAGAGTGGGGTTGATCAGGGCTATGGGGAGAGGCGGGGGAGTGGGATTGATCAGGACTATGGGGAGAGAGTGGGGGAGTGGGGTTGATCAGGGCTATGGGGAGAGTGTGGGAGAGTGGGGTTGATTAGGGCTGTGGGGAGAGCGCGGGGGAGTGGGGTTGATCAGTGCTATGGGGAGAGAGTGGGGGAGTGGGGTTGATCAGGGCTATGGGGAGAGAGTGGGGGAGTGGGGTTGATCAGGGCTGTGGGGAGAGCGCGGGGAGTGGGGTTGATCAGTGCTATGGGGAGAGAGTGGGGGAGTGGGGTTGATCAGGGCTTGTGGGGAGAGCGCGGGGGAGTGGGGTTGATCAGTGGGGAGAGAGTGGGGGAGTGGGGTTGATCAGGGCTATGGAGAGAGAGTGGGGGAGTGGGGTTGTTCAGTGCTATGGGGAGAGAGTGGGGGAGTGGGGTTGATCAGGGCTTGTGGGGAGAGCGCGGGGGAGTGGGGTTGATCAGTGGGGAGAGAGTGGGGGAGTGGGGTTGATCAGGGCTATGGGGGGAGAGCGGGGGAGTGGGGTTGATCAGGGTTATGGGGGGAGAGCGGGGGAGTGGGGTTGATCAGGGCTATGGGGAGAGAGTGGGGGAGTGGGGTTGATCAGGGCTATGGGGAGAGAGTGGGAGAGTGGGGTTGATCAGGGCTATGGGGAGAGGCGGGGGAGTGGGGTTGATCAGGACTATGGGGAGAGAGTGGGGGAGTGGGGTTGATCAGGGCTATGGGGAGAGGCGGGGGATGGATTGATCAGGACTATGGGGAGAGAGTGGGGGAGTGGGGTTGATCAGGGCTATGGGGAGAGTGTGGGAGAGTGGGGTTGATCCGGGCTATGGGGAGAGAGTGGGAGAGTGGGGTTGATTAGGGCTGTGGGGAGAGCGCGGGGGAGTGGGGTTGATCAGTGCTATGGGGAGAGAGTGGGGGAGTGGGGTTGATCAGGGCTATGGGGAGAGAGTGGGGGAGTGCGGTTGATCAGGGCTGTGGGGAGAGCGCGGGGGAGTGGGGTTGATCAGTGGGGAGAGAGTGGGGGAGTGGGGTTGATCAGGGCTATGGGGAGAGAGTGGGGGAGTGGGGTTGATCAGGGCTATGGAGAGAGAGTGGGGGAGTGGGGTTGATCAGTGCTATGGGGAGAGAGTGGGGGAGTGGGGTTGATCAGGGCTTGTGGGGAGAGCGCGGGGGAGTGGGGTTGATCAGTGCTATGGGGAGAGAGTGGGGGAGTGGGGTTGATCAGGGCTTGTGGGGAGAGCGCGGGGGAGTGGGGTTGATCAGTGGGGAGAGAGTGGGGGAGTGGGGTTGATCAGGGCTTGTGGGGAGAGCGCGGGGGAGTGGGGTTGATCAGTGGGGAGAGAGTGGGGGAGTGGGGTTGATCAGGGCTATGGGGAGAGAGTGGGGGAGTGGGGTTGATCAGGGCTGTGGGGAGAGCGCGGGGGAGTGGGGTTGATCAGGGCTGTGGGGAGAGCGCGGGGGAGTGGGGTTGATCTGGAAGCTCTTTTCGAAGAGCAGTACAGACACGATGGGTCGAATGGCCTGTCCTGTATAATTCTATGATTCTATGACTTCACAGGACAAAGCGCTTCACAGGATTTAGTATGAAATGGAGTGACTGTGTAATTGTAGGCAAACTTGACAGCACAATTGCGCACAGTAATGTAATGTCCCACATACAGCCATGAAAGGAATTACCAATTTTATTTTGGGAGATTATTGGCTTGATCACTGGAAAAACTCACTTCTCTTTTCAACTCGTGCCATAGGATGTTTAACATCCACCTGAACAGGCAGACGGGGACCTCGGTTTAGCTTCTGGAAGGACGTCACCTCTGATAATGCAACTCCTCACCCCAGCACTGCATTGGAGAGTCATCTAACTCTATGCAAGTTCAAGTCCTGATGTGGCACTTGAACCCACAACCTTCTGACTCAGAAGCAAGAATGTTACCCCTGAGCCAAGCTGATGCATTGCTGACTTTAGAAGAGTTTGCAAGCAATGAATTAAACTGCCAGTGTGGTTTAACTTGCTGAGTTGAACTTTGGTGTGGGGTTCATCAGTTGCACCATTTACTGTCAGAACTACTAGATTCCTTCTGTCTGCAGTTTGGTGTTCAAAGGAACTTGAGTTTATATGGTTGAGGGGTGATCTGATTGAGGTTTTTAAAATAATAAGGGGATTTGATAGGGTAGGTACAGAGTTTTTTGTATTAAATATTTCCTCTGGTGGAGGAACACAGAAAAAGGGGGACATCATCTTGAAATCAGAGCTCGGCCATTTAGGAGTGAAATCAGGAGGCAGTTTTTCGCCCAAAGGGTTGTGGAAATCTGGAACTCTCTCTCCCCCAAAAGGCTGTGGATCCTGGATCCATTCACATTTTCAAGACTGAGGTGGATAGATATTTCTTAAGTCAAGGTATCAAGGGATATGGGACAAAGGACGGGTAATTAGATAGAGTTGAGG